AGTATCTTTTGTTATATTTTAGTTAATATGTTCAATATTTTAGTACTAATTTTTTGTTTACTTTTTGTTTTTCAATAATTTATGAAAAAAGTTTATTTGCAATATTTATTTTTAGATTATAAGAAAAAAATTTTATATTATTTATAAACTAAAAATATATAATTTTAAAAAAATTTTAATAAAAAAATTTTTTAGTTTATTTATAATAAACTTTTTAAATATTAATTTTAAACATATAGTTTTAATATAACTTTTTAGTTTGTTTTTTTTTTTAATGCAAATTGGTGTAGTTTTATTAGGTTATACTAGAAATACATTATATTATTTATATATATAAAGCTTAGATTCTTTTAATAAGTCTAGCTATTTTTAGCTTTTTTTATATAATGTGCTTAAAATTTTAACATTTTTTTTTAACCTAATTTTTATTATTTTGCTTATTTTTTCTTTAAAGTCAATAGTATTTTTTCATCTTGCATGAATATACTATAGCCAGATTTTATAAATAACTATTAAGTATAACTATAAGGCTGTTTTTTGTAGCTGTGTATTTGAAATATTAGATATAATAAAAATTTCTTCTATTATAGTAAGAGAAGCTTCTTCTAATAAAACATTTAGAAGCTTGTAGTTATAAGTCTATATAATTTTACTAATTCTACAATCTAAAGTAAAGTGTTCTATAGTTTGTTTCTTATCATTACAGTTAGAACAGCTTTTATTTATATTTGGATTGATATGTACCAACTAATAGCTAAATAGAAAGACTTTGTTTTGCAATCTCTAAAATATATCTTTTTTTTTATTTTGAATTTCTTTAGTAAATAATCAGTAAAGTAGTTTATTGAGTGTTTTTGTACTTCTAATAGTGATTGAGAAACTGTAGACTTTATTGATCATATTCTTAAAAACTCTGTTACTTTCTTAACTAAAAATTGATTTTCTGACTTATTCAATATTTCTAGCTTTGATAATGACTATAGCCAGTTGTTATTTATAATAACTTTGTCTTTTAGTCTCTTTCAAACTATTAGATAAGACTTTTAAACATCTAGCCAATCTTTTAATTTTATTGTACTTTGATTTAGTATTTCTAAAACTGTTATTCTTCTTTTATTTTGCAACTGTTATGAGACTAAAATTCTTTTATGTTTTGCTTAAAGGTTATTAGATATCACAATTTAATCCAAATAAAAGTAAGCCTAAAGTCTAAAATGTCTTTAAAAACTAGAGCTGCCAGCCCTTCCTTCTTAAGATTTAGCTAAAATATTAAGTATTTAGATAATATTTTTAACTTGTTCTTAATTTATTCTGAAATAAGAACATTAATTTTGTTAAGTTGCTTTCTGCTTAAAAGAAGCAAATACATTAGATACCAGATTTTAAAAATTAATAATGCTTTGGCAATTAGAATTTTTTTTTAAAAAAGAGATTTCTTAGTTTAAGCTTTTTGATCTTATGCTTAATACTATCTATTAGTTTTTCTTATAATCATTTTTTAGGAAGTTAACCTTATATTTTAGAATTTTGAGTAAGTCATCATTGCTAGCTATTTTAAAATTTTGTTAATTAGATAGTTTTTTACTATATGTTATGTTTGTAAGAGAAATTATAATAGATTTGTCTTGGTTTATTTTGGTATTAGTTATCTTTTCATATATTTTAAACAATGTTAAGACTTTACTCCAGTCTGTAGATAATCCAATTCTAATAGTTAAATAATTCATATAAGCTACTGTTTTGAAAAGCTGATTTCTAAGTTTGATTTCTTAAATCTCTTCTTAAAACTTAAGAATTAAAGAGTTAAAGGCAAGAACATATAGTAAAGATGATAGTAGATCCTCTTGCTAAACTTCTCTTTCTATCTTTATAGACTCAAACAATCTTTCTGAATCTGTAATATGTATTATCTATAAGCTAAAAAGAGTATTTACAATTTTGATAAAGCTGTTATCAAAGTTTATTTTTTTTAGTACTTGTATAATAAACTTGTAACTCATTTTATCAAATGCTTTTTGTTAATATAATAGTATAAACCAATATGAAAGAAATTGGTTATCTTGGTTTCTCAGAATAGTAATAATATCTAAAGCTATATCTATTATTATTTATCTTTTTATAAATGCTTGTTGTAATGAACTAATAATTGAGCTACAAATTTTATTAATTTTATTAGTCAAGATTTTCATAAAAATTTTGGCATTACTATTAGTTAGCAAAATAGGCTTTTATTTATTAATATTATTTAAGTTCTTTGTTTTTTTTAGAAATAAGTATAATTATGCTTTTGAACTATAATTTAGAAATAGTGTTTGTTTTTAGACAGTAGTTAAAAAGATCTGTAAATACAAAAAAAACTTCTTCTTGAATATCTTTATAGAACTTGTAGCTAAAGTTATCTGAATCTGAAGCCTTGTTGTTAAAAAGAAAGATTAATACACTTTTAACTTTATCTTCTGTAATGTGTCTTTTAAGTAATATGTTTTGTATTACTGTAATAGAATTAAGATTTTGAGTAAAAAAATTAGTCTTATCTTGACAAATTTTTTCAGCTTTGTAAATATCTCAGTAGGTATTTCTTATATATTGAACTGTTCTATTAATATTGTCTGGCTCAAAGTTGCTTAATAGAGAAATTTTGTTTTTTGCTAATAATGTATTTTTAATTTTGTATTATGCAAAGAAAAATTTTGTTGATTTTTCTTCTTCTTTTATCTATTTAGTGTTGAATTTAAGTTGCCATTTCTCAGAAAGAATATAAAGCTCATCTTGTAGTTGTATGCTGAGGCTTTCTTTTGTTTTAAGAAGATATTCTGAGCTATTTTTTTTAGCCAATTTGTTGTTTAGTTTAGTTAGTTCTTTTTGGAGCTTTTGTGTCTTCTTTTTTAGTCAAAAGAAGGCCTAAAGACTCTGATTATCAATTGTATTCTGCATTTAGATAAGTTCTATTTTGAGAAATCTGCAAAGCTCTTTATCTTCTCAACTATTTCTGTTTTTAGTTGTTTATTATTTTAGCAATTTCTGTTGAATCTTCATTGCTTGGCTCTAAATAACTCTGCTGTGAAGTTTAGTTCATATTCTATTATTAAGTGATTAGAGTTGCCAAACTGTATAATAGTATATTTATAGTATTGGCTGTAATTGGCATCAATAAAGATGTAATCAAATCTTGTAGCCATACTGTGATTTTTTTTTGTGTTCTGATAATAAGTAAGAAATAGTTCTTAGTTGTTTAATAGTAATGCTATATCAATCAGATCTGAAATAATTTCTTTTAGTAATTTTCTTAAAAAATCATTAGCAATTAGTATATAACTAATATGATTTTGTTGTAGATTCAGATTTGTGTTAAAGTTATCTGCTACTATATTAATGTGTTTCTCATTAAGTTGCAGGTTCCAATTATTAAAAAAACATACTCTGTCCTCTGTATTTGAAAAAGCATATATGTTGTTTAATTGAAAAAAGTATTGTTTGTATATAAGGTTTGCTAATATTACTTATCCATAGTGAGATTCTCTAATATTTTTAAGTTTTATATTATAATTTCCTATAAGTATTGCTATTTTGAAGGTTCTGTAAGAGTCAAACCCCTATATTTAGTTTAAAAAGTTTCTTGTGTGAATATTTTTTAGATTAGTTTTCTGGATCATAATTATGTTCAAGTGGTATAATTTTATTAATATAAGTATTTTGTATGCTTTTTCTTTGTTGTTTAGTTCTTTGATATTTAGAATGCAATTTTGATTTTTTTTAACTATTAATAAATAATTTAAAAAAGTAAAAATTAAGGTTATGTCTATTGCAGTTCTCTGGCCTTTGTATAGAAAGCTGATTTTCTTAAAACTGTAGTTTTTTCCACTTTCAGAGTTGCAATTCTGTTTTTATTTCTATGCTTTTTTTTAAAAACTACTATAAAACCTTGTTCATTCTCTTAATCTATAGAGTCAGTATTGTTTGCCTATACATTGTTATACAGACTTGCAAGTAAGTTTACTAGTATGTTTTTGTGTTTTATATTTGGCTTGTTCTCAATTAATTCTGTTTAACATTCTAATTGACTTTCTTGTTCATTGTTGCTTGTTACATTTCTGTGTCTGATGTTATTTGGTTTTGCATTAAGATGTTTTCATCTTCTGTGTTTATTGTTTTAAGTTTCTTCATAGAGTTGTTTATAGTATTTTTGTTTTTTAGTTTTTTGTTTACATAAAAGTTTTTTAAACTGAATTTAAAAGGTTCTTTTATATGTTGTTAAAGCTAAATTTTTTCTTGTTTTTTTTGTTCTTTTTATAGTTTGTATAGGTTTCTGGCCTCAACTGAAAGTTTGTAGTCTAGGCAGTTTTTTTTATATGATCTGCTTTGTTACAGAAAAAGCACACCTTTGGGGCCTTTCTTCAGTCAGTAGTGACTCTGTAGTTCCAAACATTTGTAAATCAAAAAATACAACTTGTCAAATCTAAGTCATCTGCTGTTTTAAAAATTACAACCTACTGGTCTAATATTATAGAGATTTCTTTGTATATCAGTAGTTTAATTGATAGGATTATGCTAATTTCTTGGAATGCTTCTCTAATTTGTTTTGAAATAAATTTCTTTTTTCTCATTAGTATATTTCAAATTCTAACTAATAGGAAGTTGCATCTGATGTTTATAGAAATATATTCTTGTAAGATCTGTTTAAAGATAGTAACACCTTTTGCTACATATTGCTATTGTTTGTTTTTATCTAAAAACATAACCTTTAAGTGAGTTTTTTTGTTTTTGTTAATTACTAGCCAGACTGCAACAAGGTTTTCTCTTATTTTTTGTTCTAAAGCTTCTATAATTCTTGTAATAAAGATGTTTTTTAAACTAAATAATTCAAAGATTAGTGCATTTTTATTTTTAGTAATAATTCTTTTTTGTGAAAAATAAATAGAGTATGTGGCTTTTTTTCTTTTCAATTTTAAGAAAAGATCAGACCACTGTTTTAGTTTGGTTTGTTTATTCTAAACTTTTAATTAGTTGTTTACATGATTAGATATAGGCTCCTTACATGTTGTTTGTTTTGTTTGTTTATCTGAAATTTGATCTGTATTGCTTAAAGAAATGACTAAAGACAAGTCTTCTTTTTCAAGTTCTGCTGTTTTACTTTTTTGGCCTTTAGAACTTTCTATAATAACCTTTAGCATATTTTCTGTTTTTTTTTTAGTAACAAAACTATTGGACTTGTTGTTTTCTTATTGTTTTATTTTTTTGTTGTTTATATCTTCAGAACCAAGACTAGACTTTTCTTTAAGGCTTGTGATTTTGGTTTTTTTTTGTTTCTGTAACTTGTTAACACTAAACTAAACATAGTTAAACAAGCTTGTTTTCTTTTTCTGAGCATAAAAGTTTTAACTTTTATATTGTTTTTAGTAGATTTTTTTAATAAAAATTTAATAGTTTTTTGCTTATTTTATTCTTTACTGCTGAATATAAATGAAAAGAAAGAGAGTTTTTTTTTAACTTTTTAGTTTATATCAAAGATTACAATTTTTTTTATTTTTTTTCTTTAAGCAGTCATACTAATACTTTATTAAGATTCTTAAAATTATTATTGCAATTATATAGATATATCTAACAACTAAGTTTAGCATCACCCAGCCATCCTAATGGCATCTAAATGCAACTTGCCATATTACTTCAAACAAAAGTAAGCTGCTTGTCTGACTACTTAAAGTTCATAATAAAAAAGTCTTTTCTCTTCTATAACAAGTCTCAAAATTGTCTTTCTAGCTTTATCTTTGATTTACTTTTTCTTCTCTTTTGCTTCCTTTTTTTTATTTTATTTTTTGCTGACTAAACTTTTTCTTCTTACTTGGATTCTTTTTTTTCTTTTAGGTTTTTTATTTTATTTTGCTAGTTATATTTGTTTTTCTTTCCTATTTATTAACTTTTTTATATCATGTTTATCAAACTTGCTTATAAAAGATATTTCAAGCTGTTTTTGCTAAGACATTTACAAATTGTTGTCTTGTTCTTGTGTTTAGAAGTTGTACTAACCTGTCTTAAGTTGTTTTTGAAATTAGGCTCTTGATTAATACTTTTTTCATTTCTATTTCTTTTGTTTCTATCTTTTCAAAAAGTGCTATATATAATACATAAGATAAAACTTTGGTTTTTTTTTTCTTTTAGTCCTTTCTATGCTGTTGCAATGGATACTTTCTGTATTCTTTTTTAAAAGCTTGCTTGTCTTTTGCATAATACTAGATGCTTTGTGTTTCTTTGACTTTGTCTTGACATATTTGGCATTCTGTATTTGCATATAAGTTTGGTCTTCTTCTGTTAAGTTTCTTTATTGTTAGAAGTTTGTTTAATACATATTTAATAAAAATGCTTCTTCTTGTACTGCTTCTTTTTGTTATGCAATGTACTTCTTTAATTGACTTTAGTTTTTTCAAAAATACATTTAATTATAAATTGTTACTTTTGTTACTAGTACTAGATTCTTGATTGCTATCTTCTCTCGCTTTGTTTGTTCAAAAAGTGCTATATATAATACTTAGAGTGGGACTTGTATTTTTTGTTCTTCTTTTAAACTATTCTATGCTGTCACAATAGATACTTTCTGTATCCTTTTTTATAGATTTGCTTGTCTCTTACATGATGCCAAATGTTCTTGTATTTCTTTAACTTTGCTTTGGCAAACTTGGCATTCTGCTGTTATATATATATTTGGCCTTCTTTTATTAAGTTCTTCTAATGTTGGGAGCTTGTCCAATATATATTTCATGAAAGCACTTCTTCTTGTACTGCTTTTTTTTGTTAGGCAGTATATTTCTTTAGATGAATTTAGCCTTCTCCAAAAGTATGTTTAATTGTATATCATTACTTCTGCTTCTGGTTCAATATTCTTGATCACTATTGTTTCTTTTCACTCTACTTCCAGTCTGGCATTTGTTACTATTTTATATAGAAGTCTTGCAGATATGTTTATTTACTTGTTTTTCTACTCTAGGCAGTACTCTATCTCTTCATGGCTAACTTCTTCTGAAAAAATTATTTTTCTGCTTAATGTTCTCTTTTTCACAAGGCTATCAGCTTTATCATTTCATCTATTTTTGCTATGACTTTTTATTTTGACCCATTCTATCTGTATATTCTTTGTTTTCACTATATCTATTATCTTTATTATTTATAGTAATTTTTTTTTTTAAGAACTTCATTTTTATTTATACATGTTAATTCTTTACTAATGTTTCTAATTGCTGCATTGCTATCTGTAAATATTACTAATTTCTTCTTTTTTGGCATTGTTAAGATTGCTGTCTATATTGCTAGCATCTCAGCTGTAATAGACATAGGTCATTCTTTTATTCCTAGTGCTACCTCTTCTTTTGACCAATTTTGTACTTCAGTTATTTGTACCCAACCTATACCTATGTTTTTGTTTGTTGCTTCTTCTTTATTTCTTTTATTTGCTGCACCATCTGTATATATTGTGTATTTGTTTTTGTCTTTTAATATATTTCTTCTTAAGATCTTTACTAGCTCTTGACTAACATTCTTTCTTATTTTTTGTTTCCTAATTAGTTCTATTTCTAGACCTTCTAATATTTTTAGTCCTATTAGTTTCTGTTCATTTTTCCTCAGTTCTTTTGTTTTTCTATATCCTATTAATTGGTTGGTAGCTGCCTTAATTATATTATTGTTCTTTACTATTAGCATGTCTGGAACTGTATTTATGTTGTTGTTGATTCTTATCTAATATTGACAGCTATTTTCTTTTGTTTTTTTATCTCTTGCATACCTTTTGCATTTGTCAATTTTTGTTATTAAGTCACTTTCTATGTTATGCATTTGCCAGTGTTCTATTGGTAGCTTTTTCTTCTTCTTTTTAACTATTTTTTTTATTTGACTATTTTCTGTTGCATCATGTATTATCTATTCTTTTTTTCTTCTATTCTTTGACAAAGTTTCTTACTTGGTCTTCATTGCTTGCATGTTACATTTGCTTGTTTTAAATTGTTCCTTAACTTCTCTGCTTTTGATTCTGTTAAGCCTTTTGTCTCTATCATTTTGAACTACTTTGCCTTTTTGCCTTTGGTTGACTGGTTCTGGTAGGCCTTAAATTGCTGCTATGTTATTAGTCTTTTTTCTTTTGTATTAAGTAATTGGTTTAGGTATATGAGTTCTGCTTCACTTATTTTGGATCTGCTTTTTTTTCATAGTTGTGATTCTACTAGTTCAATTACTCTAAAACTATAACTATTTGTTGTTCATAGTTTACTCTTTGTGTTTATATTTATTTCTAACTCTCTTGCTTTGACTATTGTTAAGCAAACTAGATTGTTCTTCTAATATGACTTATCTTTTGACAGTTTTTCTACTTTCTATATGTCTTTTATCAAACTTGCTCTTTGACAACCTTGCATTATTCTAAATTTTGTTAGCTGCCTAGTTCATCTTTTCTGTTTAGTTTTGCTATTAGGCTTTCTATTTGTTTCATAATTAGTTCTTGTTGTAAGGTTCTGCAACTACCAAGTTCTTTGTATTCTATTATACAGTTTTCTAATGTTTTTGGTAAGCTACTTTTTTGTTTTGCCAAGCATATTATTGGTTGATGTATTTTGTTTATTTCTTTTTCAGATATCTTTATTAATTGCAACATGTAGCTTAATTTTGGTATTATTACTATATTGTTTATATATGCTATTTGGCTTATCATTATTTTTTTATATTTAAGATCTCTTATTGTTTGGCTTATTATCCCTTTTGCTTTCTTTTTTACTAAGACTTCTCGCATTCTGTTGTTTAGCTAAATTCCTAATAAACATACTATTTTGTTTCTTGGCTCTTCTATTATCTTGTTTCCTTCAAAATTTATTTATCTTTTTTCTTTTTTAGCTTTTCTGTTCATTATTATCAGTTTTGATTTTGATCTATTTATCTCGATGTCATTCATTTTAAAGAAGTCTTCTATCACCTTTAAGATTTCTAGAAGTTGTTTCTTGCTTTTTGCAATCCATGGTGTGTTATCTGCATATGCGATTGCTGCTTGGCAATGGCTTGTAATGTTGTTACAATGTATTTCTTCTTTAAACTCTTGTTCTACTATATTGTCTAACCTTTTATCTTTCTGTATCTTTTCTAATAATAGGTCATAGAAAAGGTGCCATATTAGTGGTGATATCACTTCACCTTGATCTATTCCATCTTCTGCTGTTATTTCTTTTGTTAAACTATATGCTATGATTATTTTAAGCTGTCTTTTATAAAAGAGGTTTAATATATATTTAATCATCATTTTGGGTATTTTGATTCTTTGTAGAGCTAGCTCAAGACTTTTGAGTGAAACTAAGTTAAATGCTTTTTTCATATCTTGCAGAAATATCCACACCTTTTTATTCTTTTTTTTTGCTTCTTCCATTATCATGTTTAGGATATATATAGGTTGTTCTGTCAAGTTTTCTAGTAGGCCTGCATAGTTTGGTCCTTTAAGTATTTCTCTCTTCATAAATATTTTGCTGAGTCTTTTTATTATTGACTTTGTTACAAACTTTCTGAATATTTTAATTAAAGCTATTATATGAATATTATTTAAACTGTATCCCTATTCTATATCTTTTGATATTGGATATACTTGTGCTATTTTCTATTTCATTGGTATCTCTTCTATTTCTAAGCACAAATTTGCATAGGCTCTAAATACTTCTTAAGTTTTTCTTCTTGTTCATTTGATTAAGGTATAACTTATTCCTAATATTCCTAGAGTTGTTTCTGTTTTGAGTTCTCTAATTATTCCATTTTATTCTTCCTCTTTAATTTTCTTTTTGATTTCTTTGTACCATTCTTTTTTAATATGGTCTTGTGGTTTATAGATTTCTTTTCAGCTTTCTGGCATCTCTCTTAATTTTGTATTTCTTTTTCTAAACTGCTTCTTGTAGTGTTTTACTGTTGCTTTTTTAACCAGTTCTGCTTCTATTACTAGTTTAATTTCTTTTTCTGTTTGTTTGATTATTCTGTCTAGTGTTATTTTCTTGTATGATTTGTTTAAAAGGCTAGCTATTATTTTCTCTTGATTAGTTTGATTATTTTACATCTTTTGTTTATATTATCTTTTATTTGTTTTCTTTGTTTCTGTTTTCATTCTTTTTTCCTTTTCTCTTGCAAGATTTTCTGCCAGCCTTTTATATCCTTTATCCAAGCATCAGA